GAATTAACAAATAACGATGGTTGCAAATAACAGTCTTAATTAACAAATAACGATGGTTGCAAATAACAGTCTTAATATTCACTCAGTCTTACAACTCTCTAGATATGTGGAGAAACAAACACCATGTTGTCCTGTATGTAGAGGCTTAACAACCTTATAAACGAGCATGAAATGTATAACCTAGATTTTTATTTTAAATCGACCAAACGTGGATCTTTCTTTTATTATGGGAAACTAACTATTAAGTGTCTTCTTTGTTTATCATCAATACAGAAGGAGGAGAATGTGGCTGTGATCCATGTAGTTGTCCGAAGTGAACTCGGAAGAAGACAAGATGTGGAGTAAAAACCCATTCTAGTGAACAAGTCAAACATCATTGGTCAGGAAAAGCCTCTCAATAGATAATAATTTATTTCTAGAATAATTCACCTTTTATTGGCCATTTCATATTGAGAGATAAAAATCCATTAATTGTCTTTTTAGTAAACGCTATTCCCTCTTGTTATACTGGATTTGTATAAAATTTCTTTTTCGAGTAAACATTTTTGTACGAATAAAAACGGTTTAATAAAGTTTTTACGATAAAAAAAGGTTTATACAGGTCACTTTACAAACACATAATTTCACGTAAGAAACTAAGTATGTATAAGAACTGTATTATAATGACATAAGGTGAAACAAAATAGCTCCTGGGCCAGATAATATTTCTCCAAGGGTTCGGAAGGAAGTTGAGGATTACATACGTAAGCTACTAGTTTTTCTAAGTCCTTGAATAGTGGGCTGGTGACAGATGAGTGGAAGTTGGCTAATGTTACTCCTCTTTTCAAAGAAGTGACAAAAAAACTGCTCAAGTAATTATAGGCCTATTAATCTCGCATCACTGGTGGGAAAAGTTTTGAAAACTTTGATAAAAGTGCTTTTCAATTAAATTTTACAAAGTTTAAATTGTTTTTGGATAGTCAATATGGTTTCACTAGGGAAAAATCTCGCCATACTGCTTATGTAGATGAGGGTACGTATGTGGATTTGGTGTATCTGGAACTTCAGAAATCATTTGACACACAAAAGGCTTGTTACACAAATATATCTTTATGTGTGTGAAAGATAAGTTGGTTTATTAGATAGAAAAGTGGCTAGATGGAAGGAAGCAAAGGGTCATTATGATTGATGTCCCAAGTGGGGTATTTCAGGGCCCATTGTTAGGACCTTTTCTCTTTTTGATTTACATCAATGACATAGATGAATGAATAGTCAAAGAGTTATTTAAACTTCCTAATAATATTAAAGTATCGTGTGTTGCTAGCTGTGAGGAGGAGGAGGGGGAGGCTTTACAAAAATATTTGTATTATGTGGTGACAGGTGACTCTTAATTGCAGTAAATGCAAGATAATGCATGTGGACTATCATAATGTGAATTATAAGTATAACGTTGATGTAAATAACCTTAATAGTGTTATGGAAGATAAAGATTCTGGTGTTTTAGTTGATTAATCTTTTAAACTATCCAAACAATATGCTGTTGCTTGTGGCAGGGTATTGTGTTCTGTTTTGGGCTCATTACCATTGAATTGTTGGAACAAATACAGAGTAGGATACTTGTTAGGATACTATCCTGTTTTGGGATACTAGGATTATACTTAGGATGGAAAAGTTGTCATACGAGGACAGATTAAGGACTTTAAAATGGGTTCCTCTTGAAAAAAGAAGAGTTAGGGGGGATCTCCATGAGGTGTTTAAGATTATTAAGGGGATTCACGGTGTTTATGCATCATCTTTTTTCGTACTTAGTTATAAGAATGGTAGGACTAGGAGACACAAATATAAACTTTGGCAGGGTAGAAATCATTTTCACCTAAGACAGTTTTAATTTTCTAACGGTGGTTGGCCTTTGGAATGGGTTGCCTTCAGGTGTGGTAGATGCTGTTAATTTAGAGAAATTTAAGAGAAGGCTTGGTAAATAGTTGAATGATAAGGGCTAGCTTTCAGTGATTTGTTTTCATTTTAAAGTTTACCTTAGTGCACAAGACAGCCTAGATGAACCAACAATTTCCTTGTTTTTAAATTATACATATATATATATTATAATATCAACGCTAGATATATACATAGAGAGACTAACTGTTCTGAAATAAGCTTGTTGTTAACCTCTTGCTGATTAAAAATATTCGTTAACACAAAAACTTAACAAAAAAGTAAAAAGGAAATTTATACACTTTATAGTTTTAATTACACTACAGAAAATTTAATGTAATGAATAATCGTACGTGTATTGTATGTAATTATAATAAAGTATTCTACGTCCTCACTCAATGTATAATAAACTATTCTGAAATCCATATAGTTGAACACATGTCACTAACATAATCCACTTCTACTTGTATATCTCGACAGATTTTACAGATTATATTAAAAAGTAAATTTTCTTGAGTATTTTACTTCTTTTACATCCAAACTACAGTAATCTGCTCTAAGTTAGAAAAATATAGTTTTGCTATAAATAACTGTGCATGTTATCAAACCTTATTTTAATGTAAATAGTACATATATTTCTAAATGTAGGTAGTAGTATAGTATTCAGTTACAAAGTATGCATATCTGTGTATTTATACGAGTTTTTCTCTTTTTTTTCTTAAAGTTCCTCGGTGGGACAACATTAAGTTTACGGACTTAAAACCGGGGTTCGGTTCCCTGCGGTGACACAGCAGATTATGCAATGCTGCTTTGCTCAAAAACAAACAAACGAATTTTTTTTCACAAAAATATTAACACCATAGAAGGGTATGTCATAACAATATTTCTATATATGAAAACTCTTCAGCACGTGCAAATTACTTACTTTTGGGAGCTATTACATAAACATCTTTCACTACTTAAAGCCAGGTGGTTAGGGAGCTCGACTCGCAATCTGAGGGTCGC